CTTGAACAACATTTTGCTGGCTTATGGTTGGTTCAATAAATTCAAGTGTTGCTGGAAATTCAAGTGTTGCTGGAGTTTGACTTGCAACTTCTTCCCATTTTCATGCTGCCATTTCATAAAAAATAACATCTCTTGAGAGTATTAGCTGATTTCTTTAAGGATTGAAATGTCGATAGCCTTTAGATTCATCAATATAATCGACAAAAATACATTTTTTCCTTTTCCATCATACTTCTCTTTATTTTGAGAAGTATTAAGAGCATAAGCAATGCACCCAAAAACTTTCAGCCAAAAACTTTCAGCTGAATTAAACCACGGGGTTTACAACCATGCTAAGCTTCAAATGGAGTTTTATTACCGAATCGCCTTTGATTGGTAAGGACAGTTTAAAAAATATAAATTATTGTGTTTCACAGAGCTTCAGCCCAGAATTTCTTGGAAGTCCTTCCTTTTCATTATGCTCCGGGCCCATTTTCTCACAATAGCGTGATTTTCTGTTCTGGCCCACAGCTGTTTTGTTGAGGAGTGTGTTCTTCCCTTTGAATTGCATGTTCCTTACAAAAATTTAAGGAAAGACGTATCAGAAATTCCTCCTTCACGATCAAATCTGAGTGTCTTTTATTTGAATAAACTTTGCTCTGTTTTTCCTACAAGAGTTTAAATTTCAACAAAAACATGGAGAAAGCATCTGATTTTTTATCTAGAAAATAAATCCAAATCATTCTTGTATAATCGTCAACAAATAAAAAGAAATATCTTTTATTGCTCAAGAATGGAGTTTGAGTAGGTCCACAAATATCTACATGAACCAGCTCTAGTGATGCACTTGCTCTCCAAGAAGTTTTCGGTAATGGCAGCCGGTGCATCTTTCCATACATCCATCCTTCACAAATTCCAGTCTTGCTTTGAATTGATGGAAGTCCAATCACCATATTCTTGCTTTTTAACAGCTGCAATCCGTTATAGTTCGAGTGGCCATATCTCAAATGCCACAATTGAGATTCATCAACATGCTCACTCTTCAATGCAACATTCAGTAGAGTTTGCATTCTCAAGGGAAAAGAGTTTGCATTCTCAAGGGAAAAATGTTATCAGGAGCCATTTTCACCACAGCCACCTTTTGATTAGCTTTTTTATCATAAATTTCACATCTATCAACATCAAAAATTAGTTCATATCCTCTCCTCAACATTTGTCCAACACTTAGAAGGTTTTGATTAATGCTAGGAGAGTAAAAAAAATCATGAATGTGTCTTTCATTACCTTCTTTGGTGTGGACTACAATGTCTCATCTTCCTTCAATCTTTACCATCTTGCTATCACCAATTTCCACTTCAGTTGAAAGTTTTTATCAAACTCCATAAATGATTCTTGATTGCCTATTATGTGATGACTGCAAGCACTATCTACATACCATACATCATTGTTTTTGTGCTAAGGTTTTATACAGGTATAGAACAACTGTTGATTGGCTTCCTTTAAAAAAGTTGCTGCTTGTTTGTCTCCACTGCCTTCTCCTTTATCATTGAAGCAACAATCCCTTTCGGAATGATTTTCTAGATCCAGCTAAAATGTCCAAGATGTTTTTTTGTGTAAATGACTAGCAAAGCACTAAATCTTACTATACCATACATCATGTGGTTATTTTATTCCAATTGCTCAGATTGTTCCATACCATAATAGCCGATTATTCTAGATACATACTATGCTGCTGCAGTTTTCATTTGGAATTTGGCTTCATTGTTTTCATAAAAGAGGTGTGGCGGTGGTCAACTCTTATGGTTTCTGTCTCCATTGTACCTGTCCTCACTGATGCCTACTCGTCCTTTTGCTCAGATTGAAGCAACAAATCCCTTTCCGAGCGGTAATTCCTTATAATTGTTCAGCGGAATTTTTACATTTAGATGATCAGCACCGCGAAATGTATACTCCTTGCACAATTCTTTGTAGAGTTTTAATGCCCTGAATGAATGATTTGTCTTTTGCTTGCAAATAGGTTTTGCAAGCTCAAAGTAATATCTCCTATTTTTGCATTGCAATAATGATTGCATCGGAGATTATTTGTGTCTTTGCCTACTTTTTGAGTTAATACCATTTGAATCGTCCCAGTCCCAGGGCGCTCTTCTATTTTTGGGCCCTTGTGCTCTCTGCCTCTATTTTTTGATTTCGAAACCTACCCTCGGGTACCTCAGCATATGATGATTCGTCCTTATTTGGAGATATGAGTTTCTTCTTTGATTCTGTGTCTTTGGTATTGGAATATCTTGACAAGCTTGCGACAGGCTCTCAGTTAAATTTACTGCGTTGTGATACAATACATTGTTCCTAGAAAATATTCCAACGAGATTGAGCTGTTGTATGTACCAATTGCTCACTCTTCTCGCTTTTGCTGATTCGATATACAAGAAGAAACTCGCCATTCCAACCTCAACCTTAATTAGTGAAGTTTCGGTTTTATTAGGGTGGTTCTTAAGGTCTCATGCTTCCAAAATTAAACTCTCAAGCTCAACTTCACTATTGATTTGATGTGCTGCCATAATCTTTTCTCTCCGAGTCGTATAGTAAATAATCTTCTGAACTCTGTCACCAAACATAAACTCCAACCAGACTTATCAATGTCCTAATTTTCAGCGTAAGACCAGCCATCATCTACTAACTGCTTTGATTTTGATTTTGATACATTATCGATTCTGACATCATGACCGAACGGAAGAAAAAGTCTTTTAGGATTAAGGCTTTCAGTGTTTTTTCCCCTTTCGTAAGTCTATTTCAGATTAGTGCAACTCACTTCTCCTGCTCCAATGAAATTCATTGCAAGCTATGATTCGACATTTGGAGAGGTGATGCGCCCTTTTTCTAAAGCCTTGTGTTGCCAATTCATTATTGCTCAAAAATGTTTCTCCTGCCAGCATATAAGTCTTTTGGTTTAGTTATTCCATCAAGTGATTCCCTGCCAATGTGGTGTAATTGAGGGAATAATCTAGCCTTGCGATTGGACTCCTTTGTAGGCCATTAGGTTGGTAGACATTCTTAATAGTCCATACATTTTGCGTTCAAGTTAAAGAATTCTTTCAACATCATACGATCCCTGTCTAATTATTTTTCTATCGCGTATGCTGTCTGATCCATTTTGTTGCTCGGTATTTTGCCTCTTTCCAGATGGTATCCTTTTCTCTATTATTACTCCATAAATTCAATGTGTATGTCGATAGAAAAATGTCTCCATTTGAGACCGTCCAATATTCATAGTGTTCTCCATGGAAGGAACATCAGCATTGATACTAATATATATAAAAAGTTAAAACCGATTTGATAGACTGGATATTCTTACATACATTTGTAGTTATGGCACCTATATGTATGGACCATTTATTTTAGTGAGGAAAAAGACACCAAAAAAGAAAATAAAAAAGAAAAATCTTTCCCTGTAATATTGTATATGGCAGTTTGATATAAAAAGTGTGTGCTTGAAATTATATTGTACTTGGCTAAATTCCAACTTACCATCACTACTCAATATGCTAAGTGTAGTCATTCATTTTTGAGTATAATTTTGATGTTTTTGACATCCTCATCGGCAAAATTTAGAGCAATGAGATTAAATTAAGCAAAAAAAAAAAAAAAGAAAAATCTTCCCTTATATGATATGGATTTGATATAAAAAGGGCTTGAAATTATTGTACTTGGCTAATCCAACTACCATCACTACTCAATGTGTGAGTCATTTTAGTATAATTTTGATGTTTTTGACATTTCACCAAAATTTAGAGGCAATGAGATAAATTAAGCAACATCATGACATATGCAAATCCTATGTATATCTCTTGTTCTATTTTTTGCTTTGTCTACATCTTCCTTCACTTTTATTCTCTTCTTCTTCATGCTATGCTAATGTTTTAATTAATTTCTATTTTCATAAAGTCTTAAGTTTGAATTTTTTTTCTACAGTGAGTACTATTCAAAGGGTGTAATTTTCTTGCTGCACGATTTAAAATATTATTCCGACTTATTTGACTTTTTATAAATTCAAAATTTATACATCATGAATTTAATTATGGTGTAAAAAACAGGTAGCATGTGAAACAAGAAAAATCTCTCTTTTTGCTTGTGGAGAAGTAGAAAAATTTAAAAATAAATAAGGTAAACTTGGTCCTTGAACTTGTTCAGAGGGACTAAAAAGGGTAGATTTTGAATTTTTATCGAATTTTACGCTTGAGCTTATTTAGAGGGATTAAAAAGATCATATTTGACCTTTTCGGCCAATATAACCCCATGAACTTATTTTGACAAATCAATCAATTGATTTAAATTCAACAAGATTGACTTTTATCCTTCTTGTTCTTTACCAAGAAGACCAAGTTAGGGGCTAAATTGGCTCAAAAGGTCATATCTGACCATTGTATCCTTCTAAACAAGTGTAGGGGCTAAATTAATCTAAAAGGTCAAATTTGACCTTTTTAATTTTTGTAAACAAGTGTAAGGCAAATTAGTCTTTATTCCTATAATATTAAATTAAACAATAGTTGATTTATGTAATATTAACTCTCAATAAATGAAATTTTTTCTAACACTTTTAGGACGGTACATTCACTTCACACTTGAAGCAAAGTCCAACACTCTCTTTGAAATGGAGACACCTAGGTTGAAAATCAAATAAGACCGAAAATTAGGCTTGGGCTTGTGATGAGGTACAACTGTTAAGAAAATGGCTATAACTAATTATTTTGGGTGGTTGATTTTCAACGATTCTATGATCTATATTTTTAGTTCCAAACCAAAGTTAGAAAGTTAAATCTATATTTACTTTTTAAGTAAATTTTTAGATGTCTTGTACTCATTTAATATTTTATTACTAAACGGACTCAATACTCAATTTCTAGTCTTCAAGCTTCATTGAAAGCTTGGAATGAAAATCTTTTGCTCATTTTTTTTAATTCAATTTTGTGCATTAATTATTAAAATAATCCGAGTTAGTTAATATGTGATGCAAAAAATTGCAGATCAAACTGGACTATCCGAATGAGTATTTGACATCAATCTCAGGTTACTACAATGTATTTATGGGTCGTATTTATATCTGTTCAATGGTTGTAAAAAGCAATAGAAGAGTGTTTGGTCCATTTGGTACTAAAGAAGAAGGCAACTATTTTTTGGTTCCATCTAATATAGGCAAAATTGTTGGGTTCTTTGGGAGTTATGATCCTTATCTTACTTCAGTTGGAGTATATGTGGAAATTAGTTGGGTTTCTTTGTGGTGAGTTATGATTCCTTATCTTACTTCAGTTGGAGTATATGTGAACCAACTGACCATTTTAAATCTTGTTGGTCTCCATTTTGGATGCAATGGTTTCGGAAGTCTTAATATTTGTGGATTGACGTGTACATGTACTACTAACTATAAAGCGTGGAATAACTGTCCGGTTTTTCTGATATTCTAGTATCAACTCCCTTTGGGAGTTATGATCCTTATCTTACTTCAGTTGGAGTATATGTGGAACCAACTGACCATTTTAAATCTTTTGGTCCATTTGGAGGCAATGGTGGAGCTTATTGGGATGACGGGACATACACTACTATAAAGCGAATAACTGTGGTTTCTGAATCAGTAATCAACTCCATTCATATAGAATACGACAACAATGGGACCTTGGTATCATCTACTAAGCATGGAGGAAGTGGAGGAGGCACCGCCGATGTGGTTAGTCTGTCTTATCCTTTTATGCATCTAGCATATTGCATAGTTTTTTAAGGTATGATAATCATTGCCTTTTGTGCCTTTCTATCAAGTTAAATGTTTAAAGGGTATGATACATGTGTAGCGTTGTAAACAGGCCAAGTTGAACTCTGTTGAGCTTAAGCTTGATTTTGAGTTTGAAAAACTGAGATACAGCTCTACTCTTTTATAAATTTATAGTTTTTTTAAAAAGCGAACTTCTGCTTTTATGGGTTCAACTTGAGCTCAAGCTCGACTTATATATTTTACAAGTTTGATAAGTAGACTCGAGCTCAGTTTGAATAGAGTATCAAATTTTTTTTTTTTCAAACTAAGCCTCGAGTAGCTTACGGTTGGCTTCGTTTATTACAGCCCAAACATGTAGAGTATATTGCATGCCTCCTTTTCATTAAGACTAAAACCTTTTCGTTGTGTTTTTCTAAAGATTATTTTCATAGCTCAAACTCATTATCACGCCAATTCTTAATAATGATTCATTTTTGTAGGTTGATCTATATCCAGATGGAATATGACGACTTTCAAATTCAGGATTATCATTGCTAGAAATCTTTCAATTTCAGGATATCATGGTAGAAATCTTTCTTCCGCTGTGGTTCAATCAATTACAATTAAAACTAATAGAAGAGTTTACGGACCTTTTGGTGTAGAAAAAGGAAAGGACTTTTCTTTCCCACAAACTGAGGGTAAGATCACTGGGTTTCATGGGAGGTGTGGTGATCATCTAAATTCCATTGGTGGACATTTGGAGCCTACCTCAAGTCTATATGCTGTAAAAACTATTGGTCCATTTGGTGAAGGGAAAGGATATTTATGGGATGATGAGGTTCATTCGGCAATAAAGCAAATAAGAATTACACATGGAGCTTTTGTGAGTTCCATTTGTACTGAATATTATAACGATGATGGTTTATCATATTAACGTGATTGATTTGTTTATCTATGAGGTTGTCTAAGAAGCATGTGTCGAGACCTTGAACTCCAAATATCGAGCAATCGCGCTTTAGTATTCTAAATATTTATTTATATTTAGTTTAATTTCGGATTCTATTTAGCTAACATCTCAAACTATCAATGAAAAGAATCAATTATTTCTTGGTTGGATGAAGCTCATTCTATTGAGAATGTTAATTTAATTTAAGTAATAATTTTTGACAAACTATGTTCATGTTAGGTAAAAACTTTAATAGGGAAAGATTATTATTGTAGAACAACTTTTAACAATTATTTCTTGTTGGATAGCTATTTTTGAATTTAATTTAAATTTTAAGTAATAATTTTGCAAACTATGCATTTAGGTAAAACTTTAAAGGGAAAGTATAGAACAATATGACGTTGTTTGATTCTTTTGTGTTTAAAGGGTTGTGATTTAAGTCATTCATTTTTGGGTAGCAAAATTCTTGCATAATCCAATAAAGGCATTGGTCGTAGTGAGAGTATCAGTTACTTTTCACTAGGGGATTTTTTCCAAATTATAACTATCAATTTGGTTGGTTTATGCCGGTTGTATTCAAGCAATTTCCATCCAATGTATATAATGGACAAATCTAATAACCACAATTGACATGAATAAGGATACGTGTGTCCTTTTACTGGAGAAAAAAAAGTAGAAAATAGTAATAATGGGTGATGGCTTTTTGAAATCAGGATCAACTGTTGTTTAAGTGTATGAGGAATTGATGTATAAATTTAGGGGCATTTTCCTTAGCTGATGCACCAAGTCAATAAGTGGAACTACATTTATCCCCTTTTCCCAATAGAACAAATATCCTTTTTGGCTCCTTTTGTGACAATCAACTATGTTCACCCAATGTGGGCGAGACTTATTGAAGAATACAATCTTTAAAACATATGATGGTTCTTCTTCTTCTTCTTTTTTTTTTTTTCAATGTTTTCAATTTTAAATTTTACATAATTTTCTATACCCATAAAATCACTTTTCCATTCATGTATTCTATATTATTTTGTGAATCATATATTGGCAAAGTTCGCTAAATTTGCATTTATAATTCTTTTGTTGTAGATTAAGCTTGATTATCCAGATGAGTTTCATTCTTGCTAAATTTGCATTTATAATTCTTTTGTTGTAGATTAAGCTTGATTATCCAGATGAGTTTCTAACTTCAGTTACGGGTTACTATGACTCTATCAATGAAATGAATGACTACAGTTTCACATCACTCACATTCCAGAGCAATAGTGGCTCCATTTGGTCCAGAATTTGCGTAAGCGTTTTTCTTTCCCCATCTTATTGCGATGTGAAGATTTAGGATTCCATAAGAAGCAGCGGCTATCTACTAATGCACTTGCACAACATTCACCCTATCTCTGACCCAACCAATGCTAAATCTTATTGTGGCCCTTTTGGGATTAGGTAGAGATTGGCATTTCAATGGGATGATGGATTTTATTTACTTACAATCAGCGCAATTGGTAAATTATCTAGTGGAATCCAAATTGTTCAACTCTATTGGACCATTGTGAGTGACTATGATAAGACATGGTCAATCTATTATGGTTCATAACAAAAGCACTCGGAGAACAAATAGTAGTTGAGAACCAAGACATACTACGGGTTTAGTTCTTATTTTCTATCTTCATTGGAATTACTTAAATATATAAATTAAATGACATTCAAAATTGGTTTGACGTTAAGTAAGCAAATCATTTATTGTCTCACATTACTTGCACTCCCTCAAATTTTTATTATCTCACCATCACAAGGATTGCAAGCGATACTGAATAGGGCGCTGTTAAGCCTAATCAATAAACTCTCTTATGCGGAAAAATGCGTTAGTGCTCTATTTGACAATAGCTTTTCAGGGAGCTTTTTTAGAGGTGTCTCATTGAAATATTGGTTCAGGAAACACATATTTTGTCTATTATTATTGTGTGTTTGGCGTATTGTGATATGTCGATGGTTAAGTGTTTTTAAGGTTTGAGTGAGTGGATTTATAAACATTAACTTTCTTTATAGCGATTTGATGAATGCTTTCATTGCGACCAATGCTAGTAAAAGCAACTCAAAGCTACTAAAACAGGTGACAGATTACTAAACTCCAAATAATTTTTGACGAACCAAGCTAAGTCTTGTTCAATTTTTGGGTTCAAAAAGATTGTGAACACGAGATCCTAGTTGAAAAGAGAATATATATAGCTATTTTAATTGTGAGGAGATTGTTTACACTGTAAACGGCATGTCAAGAGTGGCGATTTTTGATAATAATTATTATATGGATCAGTATTGAATTATATTTGTGAATTAAGAGCAAATTACATAGAAGTAAAAATTTGATTTTAGTGTTTAATTGATGTTTTATTCGCGTTAATGTATTGTAAATGGTAAAATAGTGTATATCAGTAGTCATTTAATTTTGCGTTTAGTTTCATTAAGGTCACATAAGTTTCAATGTTCATATTTTTTTTTAGTCACCTCAACGATTAAATTTTTGGTATTCAAGGCGAGAGCTGTACAATCCACATACTGAAAAGAACTAATAATTGTTGGAATAGTAATAAGACCACTCTAGGAGATTACATTATTTACAAAGAAAGTTTCAATGATTAAGAAGACATTAAAAAGAGCAAAGAATAGCTCAATTTATGTTGCAAAATTATATAACATTTTTCTTCTGAAGAATTTCGCCATAGGTGTATGTAAACTGAGCCAAGTTGACTTGGACGCTATTTAAGCATGATATTATCTGCAAATCCGCTGCATAATAATCATTGAAAAGTGGGATACAAATTTTTTGACTGCTAGTTATCTTAGAGATATACGTGGTATAGACTAGAGAGTCTAACCAAACATGTATTCATAAACTAATATTCAAAAATTTAGATAAGTTTGTTTGAATTTATTTAAAAATTGTTTCTATGATAGTATGGCTTTTTATGTTATAATAAGTTTAAATAAATAATAACATGTTAAATTAATGTATTCAGTGATGAGAATATGTATTTTTAAATTGTGAAAAATGAAATATTTTATTTTTTTATGCTATGTTAGCTATTTTCGATAGACATAATATTACAACGCTTGAAAGGGATTCAGGCGTTGAGTTCTTGCCTCCCGATTGAAATAGGCAATCAAAGTTTTTAGTAACTCTAATTATGACCATTAATAGTTATGTGGACGTTTATAAAAATTAAGTTGTAATAATATTTAGTAATGACCATTAGTATAATTTACTCGGAGTATGACACAAGTTTAACATTTTGGGGAAAATAACAATTGGTCATTGAGTTTTAGTCAGATTAAACCACATACAATTATAAAATATTTCATATTGTATGGCCTCTATTTTACAAAAATAGACTCTTTGCGAAATCTCCTTAACTGTATGATTTCAGAATTTAAACCCAATTAGTTGTCCTTCCTGGTCCACAAAATAGCCTCTTTTTAATTAGCAATGGACAAAGAAAATTTCGTCCTCCTAAATTATAGTCCAACTAAGCATGTTAACCTGGTCCCTAGTTAGATTTAAATACATGTTTTGCGTCGGAAAATATTTGTTTTCTATCTTCTCTTGTTGCTTTCAATGCGATTTCATACATCCTATTTGGAGTTACACAATCATTTCAATAAAATCATCTGAGCAACAGAAAAAGTCTATAATCTAATTCATAAATATGGTGAAAAAACAAAATAAGGTGCAAGAATGATTTTCTCCATATAATAGTTTTAGTTGATACAAGTACAACAGCTCCCCCTCAAGATATTAGTGTGCATGGTATTAATCACTAAAAATTTCCAAAAACATGCTCTCAAACCATTTTTAGTGGTCTATATTGCATATCAAAAGCCTCCAAATATATTATAAGAAGACATAACTCATGGTTTTTAGAATTAATTTTTGAAGTCACATGGCATAAAGACTTCAAAAACACCTTGATGAGCTTCTTCTTTTATTGAAAATGTTCTTTCAATCTCTAGTGTGCTTTGTCCCGCGCATCAATGAATATGAACTGGACCTATTTGAGAAATATACTAATTACTCCGCCATTGTTATCACACTAGTGTCTTCAATGCGATTCATACATCCTATTTATACACAATCATCAAACTCTAAACAGGAAAAGCTAATCTAATTCTAAATAGGAAAAAAACAAATAAGGCAAGAATGATTTTCTCCTAAATAGTTTATATACAAGTCAACACTCCCCCTCAAGTTGGTGCATGGATATTACACATGCCCAACATGCAAACCATTTTATGGAATTATTTGCTATAAAGCTCTTTAGTAAGAGCATCTGGAATTTGATTATTTGAAGTCACATGGATAAGCTTCAAAACACCTTGATGACTTCTTCTTTTATGAAATGTCTTTCAATCTCTATGTGCTTTGTCCGATCATGTTGAACTGGATTTTGAGAAATTCTAATTACGGCCTTGTTATCACAAAACAGATTTGAATCTTCTCCTTCCAACATTCACAGTTCTTCTATTATCTTCCTTAGCCATAACAATTTGCAAACTCCTTATGGCTCTATATTCCACTTCTGCACTTGAACGTGCTACCACAATGTGCTTT